TAGTAGCGATGCCCTTTGTTACTAGTAGCTTCTTGTTACTAGTAGTATGGCCAGGAGTTGCTAGTAAGCGTCCTTGCTCCTAGTAGGGCCGCAAAGAAAACACAGAATAAAAGAAGCAAAAAAAAAGTATTGCAAAAGGAGTGCTAGAGTCTAGGCTGTAAAGCAACCGAAACAAATCGACTGCAGAAGCCTGAGGCTCGACAAGTCGTTGCGAGTCACCGGCTGATCTCCGGACTTCATCAGGGATCGAATCGCTGTTGGAGCAGTGTAGAAAATACTCACCTTCGGAGGTCCGAATAGTTTGAACTTCCAAAGTAAGCCTGTTAAGCCAAGTAAACCTCTAAGTTCTGAGCACAAGCAAATGGAAGCTTCTTGGCAAACAGCATACTACTGCACTGCTGCACTACTGCACTACTGTTTCTGCTTCTTGCCTTGTACTTCTCGCAGACTTTCCAAAAGCGATCCACCTCCGGGAAAGTGGGAACTCCTTCAAAAAGCACCTGCGTCGCTGCATTGAGCATTGGGCCATACGTGACATATGAATGTCCTGTGATCCACCCACAGTCCGCTGTACAAAAGTAGACGTCCTCCGGGTGGTAATCAAAAGTATACTTCGTTGTGGCAAAGGATCCCAGCATGTAGCCACCGGTCGTGTGCAAAACGCCTTTGGGCTTGCCAGTGCTCCCTGAGGTGTACAGCATGAATAGAGGATCCTCACTGTCCATCCACTCACAGTCGCAGGTTTCTGACTGGCTCTGAACCAACTCTTTGTACCAAACATCTCTGCCTTCTACCCAATCATATTTGGTCTGCGGCTCAAACGAAGTGCCCTTGAGGCGGCCTACGCATATGACTCGGCGGACCTGAAAGCCATCCTTCTGCGTAATTTCACAAGCCTTGTCTGTGATTGCCTTGAGTTGCACCGGCTTTGCTCCACGCATCACGCCATCGGCTGTAATGACCATGCTGCTCTGAGCATCCAAAATGCGTCCGGCCAAACTCTCGGAGGAAAAGCCACCAAAGACCACAGAGTGCACAGCACCGATTCGAGCACAAGCCAACATTGCCGCAGGCAGCTCTACAACCATTGGCAAATAAATGGAGACTCGATCGCCCTTCTTCACCCCCTCCGCTTTCAAAGCATTGGCTAATCGGCAAACCTTCTTCAGCAAGTCGTCATATGTGAACGAGGCATGTTGATCTTCAACATCATTGCACTCATGGTAGATTGCAACCCGTGATCCATGTCCTTGTTGAATGATTCTGTCCAGGCAGTTGTATGAGAGGTTGGTCTTGCCTCCCAAGAACCATTTCACAGACACTGGACCCTTAGTCCGATCAAAGTTGAACTCTGGACCCACCTTCTCGAAAGGTGTCTGCCAGTAGAACTCTTTGGCCATTTCACCCCAGAAGCTCTCTGGATCTTCGATACTTGCCTTGTACATTGCCTCGTACTCAGCCATAGACTTCACATGAGCATTCGCACTAAGCTCCTTCGGTGGCTCGTAGATCTCGGAGACATCGATGTTCTGATTGAAATCTCCCATGGCAAAAGCAAAACAACAGAAACTTTAGCTGGTCTGAGACACAGGGCCTGCAGCTAATCTGTCTATCAGGCAAGTCTTAAACCTGTGAGAAAACTGTTTCGGCGATGGTCTTTCCTCTTCGCTCTGCACTTCAGTCTCCTGCCTGCGACTCCAACTTGTCCCGAGCCTTGAGCAGCTCATCTCGCCTCGACCATCGTGATTGTCTGCCTATATTCTTCATCCGTCTCACCAGTTGTCCACACAGTGAGTTTCTTGGGCTGCCAACTGCGCTATGAGGCTATTAACTGTGTTTTCCTGGCGTGCAGAAAAGCTTGGCAAAACAGCTGATTATGCCCCCCTTCTTCAATCTCTCAAGACTTCTGATTGCTGATACCGCACCTGATTCACGCTCAGGCCAGCACCTCACAACCCAAAAGGTTTGACAGCACGTTACAAACATTGCAAATGCCCAATATAGCAACAAGAGACTGACCAGGCAACAATAAAATTCAGTATCCAATGTTTAACAAAAGTGTTCACTATAAAACCAATCTACTCTCAGCTGAAAGCTGTAAACACCATTTACACTGGCCCTGCATGTAACTCCTTGAGGACCAGAGGTCCACACCCTGTTCCACTAGGTGGCTAAGGTTCGCAATCTCTACCTGGGAGCACCAACGGGCGTTCGTTCATTCACAATCGAGTTCAGATGTGACAATAGTCCGTTTGTCGAATATGTGTAATTATAGAAGATGCAATTCTCCACTCTTGGTCTGGTGTCTGTTTCAATTGTCTTGAGCACACTCAAAGCTCTCAAACTCGCTGTTCGAGGGTTTCCGAGTGGCCTTGAGGTTGTGAATCGTCTCTTTGGCCCTTTGCTCCTTCTCATGCGAGGCCTCAAAGCAGACATCAAGCCAATCTCTCAGCTCTCAAAACCTGTTCGCCTCCACCATCTTCCACGCTCTCTCAATTTCTTTCTTCAGGTTGGAGATGGTGGCCTGACACATCGTTTGGCAAAATCACCTATATTATTTTTTGTTTGTTGCGACCAATTCATTCAAATGAAGTCACAACGTGTCACACTGCGTCACACCTGGTCCTCCTTTGAGAGGTTCAAGGCCGTTTGCACCTGGTCAGGAGAGGTCGGATCTTGGCTCTGAGCTCTGGGTGGATGGATACCCACACTATGCAATTTTCGCCAGACCTCCAAATGTCTATCTTCCAAAGTATAAGTTGTAATGTTAAGTTTCCCTAAAAATCTAGAAACCAAACCAATAGTGCGAGCGCTTCTTCAAGGAAGCTTCCTCCGCCGCCTTTAGGGCGGGGGGGAGCTTCCTTGAAGAAGCGTGAGCTATCCGTCCAGTTAGTAGAAGCTCACTTAAGCTACCTACCTCTTCTACTAGCTACCTCTAGCTGCTACCTCTGAGCAGCCTACCCCCCCTAAAGAAAAGGACTTGTGTTTGAGTTGACACTGTCACAGTGAATCCTCGCCTTTGTGGCATTCGACACAATCTCCGCGTTCAGCTCACGGCACTTCTTGATGAGCCGCTTCTCACTGTCATGAGACCTGGGCTTCGACATTTGGACTGGACAAATATTAATATATATAAAGACTGATGTTGATTGAACACGACTTCTGATCGTACTTCTTCAAAGCTCTGTGGAGCTTCTCGTACTCCAAGCGGAAATGCTCCAAGGACTTGTCGCCAATGAGCTCCTAACTCTCCAAAATTGCACACATAGACATGTCTTTTTCAAAGACTGAAAGGCCATAGTAGGCTTATATAAGTAGCTCGTAGTAAGGGGTAAGTAGTAGCGGAAGTAGCCACTACCGATCGGACACACAAGGGCTCAAACTTACTAACATAATGGTTTGGTCATATATATAATTGACATAAACTGAACCTTAGTTTCTCGTGTTTCCTTGTTTGAGATACTGCATTGTTTTTTGTGGAAAGTAAACCATCGACCTGCTCAGCAGGTGACGATGGTAACTCACCATATCAGTATATCAGTTGAAGTGGAGTTGGAGGCTTGCTATTCTATTTTTTTCAAGCTCTGCAAAATCTGTGAAAGTGAAGCTGTGTTGGCGTTGCACGTCGAATCTTGGAAAATGAAGGTGAGCACAATCAAAGCACTGTGCTCCTGCAGTACCTCCTGGAAGTCCTTTTCTAAGGCTTCAAAGGCACTGGACCTCGCCCAACGGCCCGGCGCTTCATCTCGTCTTGTGGCTCCCACCTTTTGCCTCCAATAGCGGCCTTGTTACTAGCTAGACTAGTAGCTTCTTGCTAGTAGTAATGCCCTAGCTACTAGCGATTCCCTTGTTACTACTAGCGATGGCCTCCAACCTAATAGCGTCTATTGAGCCACTGACACACTTCGGGCTTTTGGCCAAGACACTCCATCTCATTGCGAGCGCCTTCGTCGACACCATCCTTGCCTCAGCTCAACCAGAAACCAAACACGCCCGGTGCTGTGCCATGCCCTGCCGTGCCCTGGTGCCCTGCCTTCCTTGCCGCTCATTGCCTCCGCATGAAAAAGATCTAAAAAAAGATACAAAATACTGGTTCCATCTTTTTCCCATGAGGCTTTGCGGATTCCCTCAAAAAGAACTGACCTGGCCTCGGCAAGCTGCGGTCCTCAGACACTGTAAAGCCCAAGACACTGTCTCTAGTTTGCTGTGCACGTCGTCTTTCAGCGGATCACACTGTCTCAGTGCCTGACTAAACTCTCATTCTTCGAAAGTCCTGCTGCGCCGCTTGCCCTACTAACTGAGCACATTAAAGGCTGCCCAGCAAAATAGAGAGTTTTCAAGCAAAGGCATGTGACAAGGGATGTGCGATGTGTCCACATGCCAAGAAAGTTAACAGGGCATGCCTTGCTTCAACCAAAGCTCTGTTGGTGTTTGTATTTTTCTTGGCCGACCATTTGTCACCAAGAAAGTTGCTGTCGACAAGGGTGAGACGTTAGCAGTGAAACAAAGGCCGCCAACAAAGGACTAGCCGCGGTTCTGGATGGCCGGTTCACAAGCTATTCTGCTCTCCAAAGTGGACTCCGCCCTGGCTGGGAATGAGCGACTGCATCGCAGTAGAAACAAGGGCATTACTACTAGTAGCTAGAAGCTACTAGTAATAACAAGGGCATCGCTATTAGGAATCTGTTTCCAAATGTCTCGCATTCGTCTCTTCTTTCAAGCCATGCCAACGGCTGCCAATGGATCCATTCTTTGCCTGGAGCACGATACGATGATGATATCTAGTGAACGCAAAGCAAGAGCCAATCCCACCTTGACCGTTGCAGCAGCCTCCTACAAACGTTTTGATGGCATGACTACAACAGGAAGCAGCTCTGGCCCAAACGCTTTCTTTCTGCTGTTCTTTCACATTTTATCTGTGAGCCTGGCGAATTGTCCGCTACTTGCCCCCCTTCTGTTTACAGTGTTCAGCAGTGCCCTAGACTCTTTGAAGTGGTTCGTATGAATTCCTCCAGGAGCAGCATTGGCGGCCGTGCTCTTGCTTGAAACGGAGCCTCAGAAGGGATCAACAGGTGTCTCAAGCGCCTCTAAGCTATTAAAATCAAGGTTACCATGTGCTCAAAAAACTGTGGAGCTCTTCAATCTTCTTTGATCTTCGATCTTCTTCGATCTTCTTCGATCTTGGCTTGCTATTTTCCGAGTTCCCGAAATCTCCAAGCACCCATGCCGAATTCTCCAAAGCGTCAGCACGCCGTTGCCAACACAAACAAAAGCACTCAAGTGGATCTAAAGACTATTCCAACTAGTCCTCCAATATAACAGGCATCCTCAAAGCTTGCAGACCCAGCTTGACCACCGAGGCTGCAACTGAAGGCGGGCAGAAATACCAGCCCTGCAATTCCTTGCCAGGTCTGGCACTGCTGCAACATGTACTTTGCAGCATTTCAGCACATCACTGCTTCATAGCTGTGTCCACAGGAACAAATTGCTGATGGAGAATGAAGCTCTCGTGCTGTGTGAGAAGCAGGGTCAACCCGTCTCGAGCATTCTTTTTGGTCGTTGGAAAAAATCGATACAATTTGCCAAGCATCTCAAAAGTCCCTGCGTGCCTGTGAAGAGCTTTGTAAATTTTGCATGACCTTTACTGAACAAATTATTGAAACCCCTGAGAACTGAAATTTGAACCACGCACCCCAAATCTAATATTGAAAGGCACTGCTCATTCTCGATCCCTGGGGTTTGCTTCACTTCACCCACTCGCTCCCAAAACCCCAACATTGAGATTTGGGGGGGAAGCGGTTTAAACTGATAAGATTGAAAATTTTATCTATCTACTTATTTACAGTGACCAGTGCCTGCTTGAGAAGTCTTTCACCTTGAGTGACATGCCGCTTTAGATGCTTTGCAGCTATAGACTTTGTGAGACTGGCACCTGCAGAGCTTATGTACAAAACTTGACGTCCACCAAACTCAAACCGCTTCAACTCCCTCAAGAAGGGCTTTACATTACAGTAATTGAATTGTGATAGTCTGAGTCTCACTTCAACTTCCTTCTTGTCTTGGCATCGAAAGACAGCTGATTCAGGGGCAGCATCTGGTGTCAAGATTTCACATCTGCAGGGCGGGACAAGGGATGGGTCAGCGATACGCATCCGAATGCCACTCAAACGTAGTCCACCAGTGTATCAGTTTCTTCATAGACTCGTTGGGCAAGTTCACAGCGAATATGCCTCAAAGATCCTCAAAGTACGCCTCACTACTACCTCCCCCTGTTTCTGAAAAGCATTTGGAAAACGGACCTGGCTGCTACAGAATCAAATGGTAGGCTTTAGCAAATAGCTTGGAATATCTTCTCTCGGGAATACACTTGAGCGAAGCACTGCCCGTCAGAGCTCTGCTCATAGAGCAGCATCTGCAACCCTCACTTTGCACCAAAGACGAAGGCCCCACCTCACAGAGCTCTCATAGCTCTAGCAAATGGCATCGTTCTTCTTACTTCTTCCAACACCCCGATGCACCATACAGAGTGCATGTGATGCAAACCTCTTAGAATGGTATGTGGTATTATGTGAGATATGTCGGATATTGCACATGACAAATTGACGAAAGTGATCAGGCCCTTGTGTTTCAGAAGGGGGTGCTCTCACCGCCTGCAGCAGCAAGAGAGGCCGCTGCAGCTGCTGCCTGAATCTCTTCATCGGTACGGCGAGTGAAGCACCTTGGGCAAACCAAATATGGTTCGAAAGGACAAGATAGGTGTCACGATAGGGCGCGTTGTTTCGGTCTTGGACTCTCTCTTTCACCTTTTTCAGCTTCGGCCCACGTGTGCTCGTTCCCTGGGGGGCCAACGTCGGCGATTGCCAATCCTCGTCCTGAAGGCTAAACGCAAAGTCTCGTTCAACATTTTAGACGTAAAAGCTCAGCTCTGCAGCAAAAGCCCTCTGCATAGCACGCTTCAAGACATGTGGAGAATGCTGTCGAAAGTCCTCGTCTTCAATTCGGATGCTCCTCAATGCGCGGAAAGATGCAGAAAGCACATCAAAAAGAGCGGAGGCCCGTGCTGAAGGTCTGCTTTGTCTGCTTGTGTGTCCGATCGAAATTCGAGCGAGTTGCGTTTGCATCTTTTGCCCTGGGAGCAGCTCGACCTTTATTTGGCCCAGTGCCTGGACAAACAAGGAAGAATGCAATGAAAATTGCATGGAACTGAAAGAATCGTGAACGAAATGATCTGAAGGCAATGTGACTTTCGAAGTTCTGTGTGCGCCTCAGGTTCCTCGCCAAAGGAAGGACCGTACCAAGGCAGCTCGTCTCACAATCGGTGGAAAGCTAGCTTGGGATCAAAGTTTGCAAACCGTGTTCGCTTTTCCAAATATTGCAAAGTTCTTTCAACCCAAGTTTCAAGCAAAACAAGACTCTTCATCTCTTCTCTTGTTTTTGTTGTGCTTTTGCAAAGTTTTGCTTGGCAAATTTGCCTTCGCCAAGAAGGTGAAGCACGGCAACCCAGCCTCAGACTCCTATGACTTTATTATCCCTGGTTAATTCAAGCCACACAACCAATCTAGAACAGTTCCTCGTGCTTGTTGCCATTTCGCCACTTCTTTGCATGTTTCGATATGCTGAGGAAGCTGCAGGCAATTACGCCATCACCTTGCTCGTCCTGCAAAAGGCACCGCCAGCACCCAGGGACCCAGCGCTTTGCGCAGCAACCAATCAAAGGCCACACCTCGTAGGGCTCCAACCAACCATGCAGCCTAGTGACAAACAATGGAAAGGAGGATATTCCATGTCAAATTTTGGATACTCTCCCATCAAATGCTAGCAAAGTCCTATTTCAAACTCCTGCCTCGCATCTTGATCGGACAAGGACTCCTTGGACTCTCTCAATTTTGCTTAGCTGATGGCATGAAAACTGTTTTGCTTGCCCAAATTGAATCAAATGTGGGCCTCATAGGTGAGCCGATTGATGCGAGGATCTGTGAAGATTGCACACTCACCCTTGGCGGAGCGCCAGGAACCTTCGTATGTGCAATCAAGAGAAGGTCTCAGAAGCTTTTCATCCAAGAGCATGCTTGTGTCCATTCCAACAATGAGCCAGAGTCGGATTGGACGCCTGCATGGATGATATATATATATAGTGTTTTTTCTCTTCCCATACCCTTGTCGTTAGCATCCGCCGCATTCAATGACTGCCGTCCGCTGCAAGCTATAGTACGGTTATTGTACAGGACACTTGTGCGGATGAACACCAACTCTCGAAGGCGGAATATGGTCTGATCGAAAAGCATCCTCTTCAGGCTCCTCGTTGTCTTTGCCATCGGTGTTCGTTGACACTAAAAGTTGGCCTTCACCTTCTCGGTGCCGACCAACTTCCTTTGCACGTCGGCTCATCCCGAAGGGTTCGGTGCCTTCCTGGAAGGCCTCTGAGCGCTTCTTGTCGGTCTTATCGTCCGCCGTCTTGGCTTCAGCTCCCTGGGCCTTTGAGCCTTGCTCCTTCTCCTGCGAGTCAAGGACAAAGACGTCTTTCTTTTCTGGACCTTCTTTGTCCTTGCGGTCTGCTCGCTGTTTCTTGAAGTCTTCGTTTTCTTGCCGGGGCCTTGCAAGGCTTTTGGGAGCTTCTGTCTGTGTTGCAGGAAGGCTTGCGGAAACCTTTGGCTTCTGTTCACTCTCAGCCACTCCAACGCGACGCGTGCTGGCTGTGTTTTTTTTTGTTCCGTTGGGAGGACAAGGAAGAAATATCCTTGGCAGCGTCAACGGACTGTTTGACCGTGGTGGCCGTCGCTGGTTTGGACGTCGGCCGGGTGGTGAGAAGGGACTTGTCGGCGAGAAAAGCGTTCAACAGATCATCCAGATCTATCTTAATGGCAAACGGCAAAACATGGTCTTGCCTTGGACCAGCTGAATCTTGCACCCGCCGTCCTCTGCAGCAATCTGTACCTTCATGGCGAATTCTGGTTGTGAGGCCTCGTCTGGGGGATTTCCGAAGGCACTTCCAAGCGGAGAAGCGTGCCCGCTTGGCAGAGGGGTTTGACCGATCGGCTCGCACAGGCCGTGGCTTTGCGTCGCCCACGAACCACGTTTTCTTCGGGGTCTGACACCCGTGCTTGAGGCAGGCTACGGAGATTATATATATATATATATAGTGACGGAGTGAAACTTAGAACATCGAAAAAAAATTCCAAAATGACGTTTGGACATCTTACATAGGAACTTAGAACATCATAAAACGCCATAACTTAGAACATCCAGCCCTTAAAATAAGAAAAATCATGTAATGTAATGATCGGATGTTCTAAGTTTTGCCCGAAATGATGTTCCACATGTTCTATGTTCATGTTCCACATGCTGCGCTCAGTTTTTTTCTTCCCTTTGCTCTGTTCTCGTCTTTCTTTGGTCATGCTCTGTACGTGGAAGCTAAAAGGCTCCTAAATTCAAATGTGCAGGACCTGTGTGAGAACTATATATATACACATACATATATTTATATCTTGGAGGTCAACTAACCTCAATGCGAAACAACAACTTAGAACATATACATTTGTCTTCCACGCTCCAACTCTCCATAAATATATACAGCGTAATTATATACATATACTGGTTGTATGAAAATATATCTATCTATCCATATATATATATATGTTATATCTGTATTCATGGCAGCCCTGCACAGTATATATACATTGCATTTGTTTGTTGCTGAATTCTCAGCAGCTGGCGCAAGACATGCCGTCAGTGTAGGGAAGACACTCTTGCTCTGGAAGTTGCATCGTCCCCCTTCTGCATCACCCATTGGCGCTGAACCTCGCCTGCCTCACGGAATCAAAATCACCTGAAATCATACACATTTAGTTATATAAAAATATGTCTGCATCTGGCACATAGTCAGTATTATTCTTACAGATACTCGGAATATGTTCGTTTAAGTAGCTTGGGAACACACAACTTAGAACATCTAAAGATATCTACATTAGTGAACAGGCATACCCAA